CCCAGCTGTAGGAAGATAGTGTCTCCAGGGAGGAAGCCCTGGGGATATGGCCCCATACCAGGGCTGGGACTACTTAAGGATTGAGCCCAGGGAGGAATCATCCCCATTATAAAACAGCACTAACACTGTACTCAACTATTTTGTGTATATGTGCACTCTAGGGCATTGCTGGATAGAATCAGAAATGCTTAGTTGTGTACCATAGACTCTATACTGCTAACATCTAGTGGAGAATCTCCTTTTGCTCCAGTCATTGAGGCCCAGATTTTTGGGGCAGGAGAAGCCAAGTCCTATGCACACAGACACAGTGCAGCCCTCAGGGGCCATGCAATTCATCAGAGTGACAACAGGGAAGTCCTTGGGTGCTCCAGATTTGTAACAATATTTATAATCGATAGTCCTGTTTTAAACCCTCTCCTCTCCCGTTTCCCAGTTGGCTGGTTCTTATCACCCAGGGAGCTGGGGCAATGGTGGGAAGTGACCTGGCTGAAAGGAGCAGATCAAACTGTGCTGCAAGGCTGCTGTGCAGGAAGCATTCACTGTCTGCAGAGAGAGATTGAACCCAGATATCTTTTTGGGCATGAGGATGTTGTATCTCAGGACTGTCTATAACAAAGAGAAAATAATCCTGACAATAAAACCCCAATCACTCCCATCCTGCATTTAACATGCTGGCAGTTCTCAAACACCTTTCTGACAGATCTGCCTCTATCCTCTCTATTAGCTCTTTAGAGTAGAAGTAACTGTTTTTACTAATGTAACCCTTCTGCCAGGTGAGGTTGGGTTCAATATCTAGGGATCCCTCTTAACAACAGAATACAGAACTGGCCTGAGTCCCCACCGGTAATCTGGGAAAAATTACACCGCCCTTGGGCACCTCTAAGGGTCAATACTTCCCCTCTGGCAAGTACCAAGTCTGAGTGTAGAAAAGAAAACTTTCAATAAAAAGGGGAAAGGAAGCCAGCATTAATTTGGGGAACCACCACAAGCATGTGACCATGAGCAAAACCCCCACCCCACAATACACTGGGCAGTGTTCTTTGCCTCAGGTTCTCACCTTGCAGTGTGAAAGTCCGACAAAGTGTTCCCTTAACATGCCACTCCCCTCTCCCTCCACCACATTGCACTCACAATTGTTGTGCTTGGTCAGCAAAGATGCAGAATTCAGAGGTGCGTTCGGGTGAGTTCACCTCCCACCACAGTGGGTATGGGGGAGGGGCTGAACAGTGCCTCAGCGGCTTGCTCCACCCTTCACTCTGCCTTGCTGCCTGCTGCCGCCACTGCTTCATCGTTCACCCTGCCGCTGGCCACATCGCTGCCAGTCCCTCGGCCGCTGGCCGCCTCGTTGTTCACGCCACCACTGTGCCGCTCTACTGCCACCTCTGCGATGCCTTGACGTCCCGCCCCTTAACACAGCTCTCAGTAATTTCAGCCGTTAGAAGAGCAGCCTTGCTCCTAAAGCAGACTGGTCAGTCTCTTGTACGGGAGATACTGCCCCACAGCAGGTCACACGCACCTGGGCATCAGCCACTTCAGCTCTAGTGATCTGTAACAAAACAAGAGACTCCCAAATGAGTATAATCCGCTTAGTTATTAAACAGTAGAGAGCAAAGGGTCAGAACAATGGCTAGGACTCTCTGGGCAAAGCCTATACCTATTATACCACCTCAGTCAGTCACCCCCAACTCACCTCTCCGCTAGCCTTTGGCACCCCTACCCCTGCTTAGTGAGTGCAGTAAAGTTGAGGGTGACCGCGCTCAATCAGGGCAGGCCAAGCACAGTTCTGCTGCCCCCACTCATACAACGAGGACAACAACCTTTCCTCACCCCTGCACCCAACACCACAGTAACCTGCAGTCCTACACCAGCCAGAAGTGGTCATCTGGGCAAAGCTGCTCCATCACGCTGCACACCTTAGCACAATAGGCGTGCCTATGCAAACAAGACTGGTTCCTGAAGTCTTTCCCGCCAGCTGATCACTAGATGTCAGAGAAGAGCTCATTCAGACCCTGCTTAAATCAACTTCAGGAGCCACACCCTATAATTGTACTGAGCCTTTATCTGGTAACAATGAATGCCTCTTCATTACCCCCCTGCCCCCTTTTACCTCTACCAGATGTGTCACTGATCCCAATATCTGCTTTACTACACCTTCTTCCCACTTCATCCGCCCCTTGTAATTTTGTACCAATACTCTCTACCCTAGACAGAAAAACCTGGGGGAGGGGCTGTCAGGAAACCAGTATAGGCTGTAACACAATATGGACAAAAAGCTAAAATCCAGGTAAGGCTCATTCTGCTGGACCCAGGCTTCAGACATCTTTCCCTCTTCATTCCCTGCTTCTCATGAAAATGTCATTACTGCCTTACACAGGACTAGGGTTGCCAACTTTCTAATCACACAATACCGAACGCCCTTACCCCATCCCTTCTCTGAGGCCCTACCCCTGCCCCTTCTCTGCGGTCCCACCCTGCACTCCATTTCCCCCTCCTTCTGTCGCTTGCTCTCCCCCACCCTCGCTCACTCACTCATTTTTACCGTGCTAGGGTAGGGGGTTGGGGTGTGAGAGGGGGTGGGGGCTCTAGCTGGGGGAGCGGGCTCTGGGGTGGAGCTGGAGACGATGGGTTTGGGGTGCAGGAGGAGGCTCTGGGTGGGGCAGAGGGGTTTGGAGTGTGGAAGGGGGCTCCAGACTGGGGCAGGGTGTGGGAGGGGGTACAGGCTCTGGGCTGGTGGTGTGGGCTCCACAGAAATGAGAGGTTTGGGGTGCAGGACGGCGCACCAGGCTGGGGCAGGGGTTTGGGAAGGGGAGGTTTGGGAGGAGGGGGCTCAGGGATGGGGCAAGAAGTTGGGGCACGAGAGGAGGTTCGGGATGTGGACTTCGGGTGGCACTCACCTCAGGCAGCTCTCAGAAGCAGCATCTCCTCCCTCTGGCTCCTAGGTGGAGGTGCAACAAGGCAGCTCCGCGCACTGCCCCTGCCTGCAGGCGCCATCCCCACAGCTCCCATTGGCTGGGGTTCCTGCCCAACAGGAGCTGCAGAACCGGCGCTCGGGGTGGGGGCAGCATGCAGAGCCCCTGTGGCCACCCCTATGCCTTGGAGCCAGACGGATATGCTGGCAGCTTCCCAGGAGCTGCTGTGGGCGGCCAACTGGAATTTTAAAGGCCTGGTCAGCAGTGCTGACGAGAGCCGCCAGGGTCCCTTTTCGACAGGGCATTCTGGTCAAAAACTGGACACCAGGCAACCCTAGTCCCCATAGTAAACAACCATCCTACAGGGATAACTCCAGTTCCCTGAAATAGTAAGGGCTAAGTTGTTCTTCGGTTATGTGATTTGGCCACCCTGATAGTGCATAGTGCATCACTTTAAAAGATCCCATTTTGGTTCTTATTTCCAGAGCAATATCATTAGCTGAAATAGGAAGGTCATCTAGGAAAGAGACTCGATACGCAGAGTTTTCCTCTCTGTTTCCCTGTGTAAAGGGGCAAATAGGACAGTGCTTCTGCAGTAGCATGTTTTTCTGATGGTCTATAATAAATGGCATACGGGTACGCTGCTAAGATCAAATCCCATCGCTTCAGCCTTGCTGCCACTAATGGTGGAACGCCTTTGGACCCAGTATTTTTACGAGTGGATTAAACTTCCTAACACTAATAACAGTAGGACAATGGAACAGACTGCCTCAGGAGGTTGTGGAAGAGTCTTCACTGGAGGTTTTCAAAAGGAGGCTGGATAACATCTGTTTTGGATGGTTTAGACACAACAAATCCTGCATCTTAGCAGGGGGTTAGACTAGATGACCCTTGCGGTCCCTTCCAACCCTATACTTCTAAATCAGCGATTAAGGTCAATTGTTTCCTAAACTCTGTTAACTTTACAATTTTTTTGCAATCTCTTTAAAGTCCCCTCTAGATATTTTAAATGTTCCTCTGAAGTCCTCCCAGTTATTAATAGATCTTCTAAATAACAGACACCACCATTTACCTCCTGCAGTGCCTGATCTGTTATTCATTGAAACGGAACAGGCGTGCTAGCTCCCCATAGGATAATCTTTCATACCTAAATACCCTTGTGTGCATTTTGTGGACAGAAATGGTTTTGCATCTGGCTACATTGCCATCTGCTGGTAAGCTTGGGGCAAGTCTAGTTTGCTCGACTTCATTCCCTCTGTCAGCTTTTGCAAATAAATCTTGTGGTTTAGGAAATAGATATTTATCCATCTCCAGCCCGGGGTTTATAGTGACTTTATAATCCCTACAAATTCTTACACTACCATCACCTTTCGGGATACACACAATTAGTACAGTTCTTTCACTGGACTCCATAGAGAAATTATACCCTGCTTTTGCAAGTCATCCAGTTGCTTTTCCATGGGCTCTTACGGAGCATATGGAACAGGTGTAGTCTTCAGAAATTTAGGACTGGCCTTTGCTTTGCTGGTGTATGTCTTTAACCAAACCCGTATCTGCACTAATTACACTGGTCTTTTAGTACCCCCACTCTGTCTGGCAGATGATGTACCACAATCCAATTTAATCTTGTATAGCCAGTCTCTGACTATTACTAGGAGGCCATTTCCTTCCATTACAATTAATTCTAACGGTGAACAGACACCTTTATAAGTTACAGTGACAGGGAGACACCTTAATACCCCTCTCTGCCTTTATTGCAATTCTGTAAAAGCACAATAGTTTCTTACCTCAGATAACATTTTTTTTGTAAGCGCCCTCAGAGATCATGGTCATTGCCACTCCTGTATCTCTCTCCATTGTCAATATCACATCATTAACCTTTACATTAACATAATACAGGTGATGACATCTGTTCAGTCTCCACCATATACAGTTCTGTGAAATGGTACAGCTCACATATCCTTTCATCTGGAGACAACCTACCTCCGGACCCGACTCCTCCTAGTCACTTAACTAGTTCCATGGCTCCTATCTGCAGTCATTGATGGCTTCTGCTCAGCGTATTCTTTGCTGTTCTGTGGGGCACTGTGGAAAGACCAGGTGACGTTTTCCCTCTTACCGCACTTCTTGCAGTGCAGAGAAATAGTGCTCCTGCTGGTGTGATATCCCTAAACCATGGCTCCCTCTGTTTTATCTGGAACCTGTGAGATGTGCTGACCCATGTTGTCATCTTCTTCCTCCCCTGCTGAGTCCCTTCTTTCCAGGCCTGGCATGATGGGGAGAGTTTATTTTCAAATTTTGGTGCATTTTTCTTTATGGATTCAAACAACAGAACAGTCTCCACAGCTCCCTCTAGTAGCAGGTGTCACAATTCAGGGCAACTGCACCTCCCCTCAGGGGTTCAGCAAGGGCAACCACTCTACGGGGTAGTAAGAATTTTTCCCCTTAAAATACCAAGGAAATTAACTGCCCCAAACCTTCATTAATACAGAGTTAGGTTTACTCAGTGGGGCCTAATGCCCTTCCAGAATGTGAACAGTGGGTAACCTTAAACCTCTGAAAACAAGGAAATAAAAAGTTAAGGTACAAACCATTTGTGCAATGCAACCTTTACTCTGCCCTCTGAGTGATACTCCAACATGCCAATAACACACTGCCCTTACAGATACTACAGACACTCTGGGAACAGAGCACATAAGCACTGTAGGACAAAGTCTAGCATCTACTCTTTGCTAAGGCAAAACTCAAGTTTAGATCAGACATAGCAAACAGCAGCTACCTACACACAAACACTAACCATCCCAGATTTGCTAAATGTTACTACCTCTTCACCCTTGCCCTGAGGATTCCTTCTGAGACATTGCCTTCACTGACTCCTCACTAAGGACTGGAGACTAGTCACATAGACCACCAGATGGCTGACAATCCCCATAGCAAGACACACTCCCGGCACCCCCTACTGACAAAGCCTATAAACTCAATGCTGAAATGAGGACTACTTGATCCCTCAAAGTACAGATGCAACTCTCCTCATATCACAGTGACAGAGCAGCCAATTTGCTCCAACTGCTCCACCATTCAATACAATTACACCTAAGGCAGCTAGTGTGCATGCAGATAAACGGTGCAGCTCAAACCACTGGAACACAACAGAACACAGTAGCATGTTCTCTTAGTCATTCCTCATGTCTATTTATTATGGCATTATCTTTACTGAACCACCTTATCTCTTATTCCAAAAGGTAAAGAGAGAAACTTGTATCTGTCCCAGAGTGTAGTAAAAGTGCAAAGATCAAATGACTCATTATCTAATGTGACTTATCAATATCCATCTTTCTTATCTAGCATAATAAATATGCTTTTTTACCAGCTAGTCAGGACATCTGCTGGTGTGGGGATAGAATAATGCTGTATCAGTATAGTCTTATTAAGGCATCAGGGATCCAAACAAATCCTAATCTTGCCGTATTTTGTCCCAGTTATGATTAAACTGCTAACCCATGGAGTGGGTGAGTTCACTTTGGCTAGGACTCTTTCCTTTTCTAACTGTCTGAGTGAATTTCTGAGTCTGTCACTGCAAAAGGTGTAGTTCCGCAGCCATGCACTGTATGACAAGGGTGACTGATGGGTCTGTATATATGCAATCCTTCCCACAGAACTCTCCTAGTCCCCTGAAGAATTCCAGGTGTTGTGCAAGCAATTCTTCTTAGTGCTGTGTGCTTTTGTGTGCAGCATACTCATTCATACATACTAGGTGTACCCGTATGCAGGCTTCTCTGCCTATCAGTAGTGTTGTAAATGCCTTAGTGATTCAGTCTTCATCACTAAGGTGAAGTCTTCAATTGAAGACTGACCTTAGCTTTAACAATTGCTGTTGTTAAAGTGACTTCCCCTTCAGAGTATATTCTGGAATCACCATATGCTATAAGCACCTCATCAGACTGCTTTTTCTAGATGGGACCTGCTATCTTTCTCAAACACTGAATTGGAAAACATTTAGCTTCCACCCCAATATCAAGATTAAACTTCATAAGTACCTTCCTTACATACAGTGTAGGATACCAAGGTTCTGTGAGTAAGCTATATGATTTCTGACAGAGCTATAGGATTTCTGTTTCCCCGTGACACTGTATACACAAAAAGAGATTGTTCACATTCTAGTTCAGTCAGAGATTTGTGGCTTTGCCTTTTGGGTAAGTGTGTTGCTCTGCAAATAGAATAGTGATTTAATTTTCCACATTTGTGGCATATTTTTCCATAGGCTAGGTGTGTTGTACCACAGTGTGTACAGACTTTTTGTGTGAGTGGATGGTGTGCCTGCTTTGCTCTGACTCACCAGCAGCTGGGCCCTCCCCATGAGTCTTCTTTTGTGTAACAGCCTCTACAAACTTGCCAGTATGTGGCCCAGATGGGATCTCTAGTTGTGTCTTTGCGGCTTGTGAGGCTCTGCGAATGCCTATTCCTTTCTGCAAGCCCAAATCAGGTTTCCACTTTCCTCAACAACCTTTCCTTTAGCCCTTTATCAGTGACACTAAGCACAGTACTTGCAAAAAGAAAAGGAGGACTTGTGGCACCTTAGAGACTAACCAATTTATTGGACCATAAGCTTTCCTGAGCTACAGCTCCCGATGAAGTGAGCTGTAGCTCACAAAAGCTTATGCTCAAATAAACTGGTTAGTCTCTAAGGTGCCACAAGTCCTCCTTTTCTTTTTGCGAATACAGACTAACACGGCTGCTACTCTGAAACCTAAGCACAGTACTGTAGCTGAGAATATCCTTTTCAGTGTTTCCAAACTCAAACGCTTGCTTTTTGCCTCAGCTCTGTGACATACTTGTCTATCTGCTCTTCCCCTAAGTGTAGGTGAGGCCACTACAGAACTGGTGCCGTTCAAACACAACATTTTTCTTACGGTTACCATAGTTCCTAAGCATTGTGAAGGCCTCATCCAAAAGAGAAGCATTTTCAGCTGGCTGCTGTAAGAATGTTATAAACTTCCAGAGCTTCCGGTAAAATGGCTACTCTTATCCCCTGTTCTTTTGTATCTGCTCCCGAAGTTTTCATATAGATCTGGAAGGTTTGTTCCCATCTCCAGCAGGATTACAACAGAAAGATACAGGTGGGGTTGCCTTACAGTCCTCCCTCTTCCGGATTTTTTTTTTTTTTTTGAAAATAGCCTTTTCTAGTTTAACGGCTTTAATTTGGCCCTCACTTGTGTGTACTCACTGTGTCTATTCTCTGCGCCTTCTGTGTGGTTTCTGCGGGTCTGTGCACGGCAGCTTCTTCTTGTCTGTGTCTGTGGCGCAGTCCGCACCATTTGCGGATACGCCGTGTCCTGGCAGGAGCGGCTACTTCCCGCAGCCCGAGGCCCCCGGCCGGCAGCGCCGCTTGCAGAGCCCCGCAGCGCTTCGACCCCGGGCACGGCAAGGTGGCGCCCGCAGGCGGAGCGGGGCAGCCGCCGGGTGTCTCTGCCCCGCGTGAGAGCGCCCGGGCGCCGGCAGGAGGCGGCCGCGGGGCCCGTTGTCAAGAGACAGCGGCGCAGCCCGCCCCCGCCCCGGGCCTCGCTCACACACAGCTGTGGGCACAGGCTACAGCGCAGCCGCCCTGCGGCACGGAGGGAAAGAGGCTGAACGCGCCCGGGAGAGGAAGGATTCACCGCGGACACTGCACCGCCCTGCCCCGGCCAAGGGAGATCGCGCCGAGCCCCGGGGCCTGGATGCGGGGACGTGGCAGGGTCTCCTCCCAGCCGCTCGTAGCCGCACCCGGCTGGGAGGTGGGCGCGAGGAGCTCTGATGTTTCTGCTTCAGAGACGCCAGAGATAAGGGTCTGGTGGGACCCAAGGAGGTGGCTGGGGTGTCTTTTCCAGGTGGTTCCCGATGGTAGCCGTGCTAGTGAGGAAGTGGGGGCTAGCCCGCGAAAGCTTCTGCTCAAATAAATGTGTTAGTCTCTAAGGGGCCACAAGGACGCCTCCTTGTTTTTCCAACTGGCTGGAATGACAGCTCCACTCACGACAGAGGAGAAATAACAGTGTACGTTTTCTGAGCTCCGTTCTGTCTTTCCTGGTACTTGAGGACAGTGTGTGAGGCCAGGGAGACCAGGGTATGTTGCAGAAGTGAGGGCAATGTGGAGAGACTTGGAGCAGGGCTGGGGGTTGGGTTCAGGAAGGAAGGAACGCATTGCACCTGGGTGGGAGGAGGGACAGAGCATGCAGAAGCTGTGTGTTAAAGGACACCTGACATCATTTTGGGAGGAGGCATGGAGGTGCAGCAGATTCTGGGACACAAGGTATAGTTTCAGCATGACTCCCAGTGCTTTTGGAGAGAAAACGGGATCACAGTAAGGGGGGAGGTTTGATTCTGAGGCTTTTTCTAGCAATCTAGAGTTACACTAAGGAACGAAAGCTCTGCACCATTTTGCTTCTCTGACAAAGCCTGGTGGATTTCACATGCTAACCTCTCTCTTTCAACTCAGCTTTCTACAGAAGACTGTAACATCTACCAATCTGCCTCTGAAGCCATGTGTCATGACTGATGATGGTGTGTAAGGGTCTGCTTAGGGTGGGGAATGGATGTAGGGAGGTTCTGCTTGTGGAGACGAGTTAGAGAGAAGGAAACATGGCAGATTCAGAAAAAGATGCAGGAACCTTGGGATTCAAAGAGTTCATTCGAACACTCCCAAGGTGTGGGTGGGTTTGTGGTAATGTTGGGATGGAAGGCCATTCCTCTGGATAGTTTTCTGGGGAAAAGGGAACACTGTAAAACCTTAAACCCATTCCGATCCTCATGAGAGTCACAGCTCCAGCATGAAGGGGGCCATGATTGAGGGGCTACCTGTGGAGCAGCTTACTACAGTAAGCCCTCCTACAGATGCACCTCAATCGCACCCCCTTAACTACCCCCAGTTCTTCCCAAAACAAGTGAAATTCACATGCAAAATTCTTTACAGCCTCAAAAGAAGAAAAGAAAAACAAAAACTAACTAACCAAACAAACAAAAACCCTCAAACTCAAACAAACAACAAACATAAAGCAAGGAAAAGCAAAGTTAAAGTGACACTTCCAACACAAAAAGAAAAGGAGTACTTGTGGCACCTTAGAGACTAACCAATTTATTTGAGCATAAGTGTTCGTGAGCTACAGCTCACTTCATCGGATGCATACTGTGGAAAGTATAGAAGATCTTTTTTTTCACAGCATAGCTCTACAACTGTAAATCTGTGGGAAGATAACAGTATGCTCCTCCCTAATTTTGTTTTTTTAAAAAGCCATTTTCTGGCAGTATATGTGAGAGACACAGAGAAACTTAGTCAATCTTTGGTATATCAGAAATGCTGAGCCTCTTGCTCACTCATCTCTGTTGAGTTGCTGGATTTTTCCTTCACTTTCTAAATCTAGATTTTTTTTTTTCCCCATTCTGAGAACAAACTCTCCTTATTTCTGGAATTCATGTCACACGCACTGAACTCAGATAGTTTGTCATACATAACTCATAGAGAAGACAACTTTCAAACACTTCTATTCAGCTGAAGAATGATCAGCAAAAACTTTTTTGTGAGCACAAATCTTTTAAAAATGCATTTGAACACAGATTCAAAAGGCTTCACAGAAGCTTGGGGTTCTCAAAAAAAGGAAACGTGGCACAAAATGGGTTTTGGAAGAGACTGACACAGCAGAGTTTTATCTAAAAAAACAATTCAGAGAGTAAAACAGCCTCCCACACCCAGCTTTGCTGATGCCCCTCAATCCTAACCTGCGGTCTCCCATTATCTAGTTCTCAAGTGTTTCAGGCTATCCGGCTCCTCTCTTAGGTAAGGAAGGAGTTAATATTCTCCAGTCTGTTTTTGGTTGTCAGAGTGAAAGTGAAAGGAAAGGCTCTGGCAGTCTGAAGACTCATTCAGAGTTTGATTCTAGCACAGACGCCTGATGTTTTAGGGTGTCTGGAACCCCTTGTTTGGGGCACAGAATGAATCTAGGGCTCATCCTCATCTGTGGAGTGCTGGCTCTGAAGGCTGGTGAGTTTAGGAGGTGTCAGGGATTCTGGCTGGTCTACAGGGATGCCTCTTCAGAAGGCCCATTATAGCAGGGGTGGTCAAACCCTCCCAGCCGCATAGCACAATCTTCAGAAGTTCCAGAGCCAGGGCGCACCTGCCAGGGCTCCCCTTGGTTCTTCAGCCCTGCTTCCGCTGAAGCCTTGAGACCCGCCTCCCCTCTGGGCAGAAGCCCCTACCTCACCACCCTGCTGCAAGGCAGAGGGCCTGAGCTCCTCCCCACCCCCCAGTCTGTTAAGTGGAGAATGGGGGGAAGGGAAGGGGGCTCCGTGAGCTGCACTTTAACGGTAAAAGGGCCACATGTGGCTCATGAGCCACAGTTTGGCCACCCCTGCATTATAGGCTCAGGGAGCAAGAGGGGGAACAGTTTGATTAGCAGCTTGTGTCCCAGAAGGGATTAGACAAGTGAGCCCCCGTGCCCCCCCCCAAGATGGATGGACCAGAGGGAGGTGTGATAGTATAAGCTGATAATCATGGGGGGGGGTGCTTGGGGTCTTCCAAAAGGATGATAGCAGTGGGGAACGGGGAAGTACCTGGGAAGAGGTACTTCAGGGGAGGTGTTTCAGGGAAGGAGGGGAATTATGTGGTGGTAGCGTGCCCCAGGGCTCACCTGGATCATCCCTGTTTCTATAGGGCTGCCCCTGCAAAGGGCAAGATGTCAGTGCCAAATGTCTTGTCCCGATGGGGCAGCAGGTATGTGTATGTATGTGTGTGCACCCCACCTCTCAGCTGGTTCTTCTCCTTCTCAGCAGAGCTGCCAGTGGAGCTGGCCCCGGGGTCCCAATTACGCTCTGTGGATGTGGTCTTGGACTGTCATTATATAGAGGAAGCTGTGGGTGGATTTCCGGGTGCCTTTGCCGGATCATTCTCCTCAGACCCTGCCACCCTAGTGCTGAGAGGTGTCAGCGTTGCCGATGATGGAAGCTTGGACAGTGTCACCAATTATGAGGCGCCAGGCACAAATACTGACTCCGCTTCTCCCATCATCTTTGAAGTCTCAGGTGAGTGAGGAGCTGGGGATAGGAGAATTGCCATGCCAGCCACAGTAAGCCATGAGTGAACTGAAATCTGCACAGACTCAAAACACAGAGCCCTGCCCCAGGGGCTCACAGGACATGTGATGGACAAAGGGATAGCAAGATGAATGGCACTGTGTAAATAGAGACAGAGTCACTATCTATCAACTTACTTACATTAGAGGGACAAGGTGAGTGAGGTAAAATCTGTTATTGGAGCAACTTCTGTTGGTGAGTGAGACAAGCTTTTGACCTACACAGAGCTCTTCTTCAGCCCTCCTTGAGATCTGAAGAAGAGCTCTGTGTAGCTTGAAAGCTTGTCTCTTTCACTAACAGAAGTTGCTACAATAAAAGATATTACTTCAGCCACTTTGTCTCTCTAAAATCCTGGGACCAGCATGGCTACAAGAACACTACTTACCCACATGACCCCACCACCACAATATCTGAGCACCGCATACTTATTAATGAATTACCATCACAATGCCCTTCTGAGATAATTGCATTGGTACTCCTAGTGAAAAAAGGCAAAGCCATTATTTTCACTGATGGAGATTGAAACCCGAATAAACTGCCCTGGTGATAATCAGGCTTCACCTGTATAAATTGTATCATACAGAAGGGAGTTTGCACTCTGGCTAAAACCCCAGTTATATCAGTAGCTAAAGTCTCAAGATAGACAAGGCCGTAGACCAGAATATTCATAGATTTTAATTAATATATTCATCTACTTAAGGCGAGAAGGGACCATTAGATAATCTAGTTCAGGGGTTCTCAAACTTCAATGCACCGCAACCCCTTTCTGACAACAAAAATTACTACATGACCCCAGGAGGGGGGACCGAAGCCTGAGTCTGTATGATTCCCACTGTCCCAAGTGGGGAGCCAAAGCCAAAGCCTGAGCCACAATTCCCTGCAAAGGGTAGGGGTCAAAGCCTAAGCCCAAGTGTTACACGAATAAAAATGATACCAACAGGATCTTGTAAGAGGGACAAGGCAAATTGCCATGTTTATTGTAAATACAACAAAATATTCCTATATGCAATTTCTATATTGATCCATTCACACAAACAGACATTCACACACAGGTTCTACATAAAGGTTGTTATAGTTACCAGCCTAGATGTTGCTCGTGCCAAGTCACTGGCCAGGTGGCCTGGACACGAGAGTGGAACCGAGTCGTTGTCAGATGCGCATCCGATGCTCCTGGAGGGTGGTCGTAGAACCAGACTCAAAGAACACAGTCCCTGGACCCAATTTTTATAGGTCTCTGGTTCAGTACAAGTCTATGGAAGTTGCTTCATCATGCTGAATTTACAATTGAGATGACCATCAATCAGCTCAATCAGCCGGTGGTACATCCATGACGGCTCCATGATGGCTAGGTGTTATCTTCTTGTTCTTCCTTGATGCGTTTTGGGTGGATTCCGGTTTGCCCTCCGGGGGTCATCAGGTTATCTCCACTTTGCATATTCTTCGGCCCATCGATATCAAGGTTGAAATTCTTAGGATTAGGCTGGCACCATTTACTAACCAATTATTTCCCTGCTTCAGGCTCTCAATTCCATGCACTCATCATTCATTCTTTTACTTAACAACACAATCTATGACTCTTGATTCATTTAACAAGTTTTATCCCACTATCTATTTTTCCCTCTTTGGATACCAAGATTTACATAGGCATGACAAGGGGCCCCCGCGGGGGAAGAGCATCAGGGTGTTGTTTTAAAGAACAGCATTGTTTCCTCAAAGTTCTTGTCACTTTCCAGCACAGACTCTTTTTCCTGTACCGGCCTGAAATAATTAGACTTTGGCCTTGCATTTGTTACAGCGTGAAATTCAACAGCATGGAACTGATGTTCATACCTTTTTACAATACCTATATACTCTTTTGTCTATCTTTATTTCTACTACTACATAATTATAATTCTATCATACTTATATAACTTTGAGGGCAACCCAACACAAGGGCTTCAGTCCCAGCCAGAGGATCTGTAACCTGAGCCCTGCTGCCCAGGGCTGAATCCCTCAGGCTTCAGCTTCGGCCCCGGGCAGTGAGGCTCAGGCTTCAGCCCCAAGCCCCAGCAAGTCGAAGCCAGCTCTGGCGACCCCATTAAAATGGGGTTGTGACCCACTTCTCTTTGGGTACCTGGTCTAGTTTCCTTCCCCTTCCTGTGAGCCCAGTCAGTGCCAGATAGGCATCATTTTATCTGAGCCTTAAAGAGATGGCAATTCTTCTAGAGTTACACCCTCTTGTAAAAATCTGTCTATTTTTACGTTTGGTTGCTTTTCCAAAATGTTAGCTGACATTTTCTCCCCACGGACCCCCCGGACCCCCCTTTTTGATAACTCACAGTATTCCATTATCAGTTTCACCAGGGGCATACACACTACACTCCTGTTTATATGTTCAAGGATCACAGTAACCCTTTTTGCCACAGCATCACATTGCATCACAGTTGGGCCCGAGGGGGGCCAGCCACCCCCCCCCCCCCCCAAGCAGGACCAACCCCCAGCCAAACACCCCGCCAGGGGGGGGCCGAGCCCGCCCCCCAAAAACCCCCCAAGGAAGAGAGTCTACCCCCCCCCTAGGAACTCATATTGAATGTTTGTCAACTATAGCCCCTAAATCTGTTGGATGGTCACTAGTTTCAGGATACAGCCTCAATTTTATAACGAGGGCCTGCATCTCCTGCTCCTAGATGTACAGTTTTGCATTTGGCTGTATTCAAATGCAAATTGTTTGCATGCACC